CACAAGCGTAAAACGATAGAGTACTAAAAACTGAGGGAAGAAACCAAACGCTGAGGAACTCCACAATTTCGCTATCTTCACTTCTTTCTAAGAGGCACTCCGTATTCCCTGGAAGTTTGGAAGCACATCAAATTCATTCCCGTTCTCACTTTTACAGAACTTTCAGTTACAGAGATTTGCTGAATTAGCTTAGTAACGTCTATAATGGAACCTATACTCAATTTTTACTTCAATTCGTCACCATTTAACAACAATTCCACTGAATACTAAACAGTCTGAGGTTGGGTTGGTGCTTAACAATGGAGTGCAATGCAAACGTGGGCGCTGGTTCGATTCCGCAATTTGTGTTAGACTTCTCTGATAGTATAGAAGTACTGACTTGACAAGTTGTCATAAACTTTCGAATAACTGTAAAGGCCAAATATGTATTGAATCATTCAGCAATGCAACGAGTGGAGTCGAATTCAATGGAATATCAACGCTTTATTCTGAAACCTTCATCCTTTGTCGCCTATCCTTCTAACACCATTTCTGTTTTCCACCGTAATACCTGTATTTGAATTGTACTTCCAACACATCGTCGACATACAGCATCACCATCAATGGCTGTCGAATCTGCCAGGGTCATCGCTGTCTGTTTCGATGTGCCTTTCGAGTTTCCTCAGGTGTTGATGTCACAGTGAGCGAACGGTAAGTAACTGGGGCGGCATGCTGTAATTGCCTATCGATAGCATCATAAAGTACTTTAGAAAATTTATTCCAGTCAAATGTAGCTTCAGGACGTTCATGAAGGCGTAAATGATCAGTTATTGATGCTATGACGAAGCACTTCACCGTAAATCATTTCACCATCATGAATACAAATCGGTCTTATTGTTCCATTCGAAGGACAGAATATTTGACCACTCCATTCTAAAGGATAAAAGGATAGAGGGACGATATCAATTTACCAGCTTCGGATAAATGGAAGGCGTAGCGATTTCGGAGCGCACGATCGAACCAATGACCAGGCGTTTATTATGAGGCACCTTTAATCACTGCATTACACGCGCCAAGTTATCCGCTTCTCTTAAATCACTCTATAATGGACGAAATTTAAAAATGAGGTAGTGTAAAAAAAACTAAGGCTTGCCTATGGTTGCAGAACAGTATTGCTCTATTGGAGAAAAAACTGAGATTGTCACTGAAGTGTTCGCAGAAGAACTGGCCTCCAAATATTGACGAAGCTGTTTTACAAGTCATTAAATTGTTAAGAAAGACGAAAACAAACTTTCCCTAAAGTATAAGAACAGCGGCTTTCAAACTTCAAATAATCTTCCATATAAGGGTCGATTCCAAATGGTTTGCGTGGATTTATCACAGTCATAATTAAAATTCTCAGATCAGGTCTATGACAAGCCATTCATTGTTCATCGCCCTGAGACGCTATTGGATTCAAGAGATGGACAACGAGAACTGAGCTCTAGCACTACTCCATTAGAGCTCAGTAAGGCACTGGAACTCGATAGATACAAGAAATCGCTGAAAACGATAAAAACAAAGGGATTCATACGAAGAGGGTGACGATATTCGTGATCTTGGTGTGCACAAATGATCCTGATGAGCTCTTCTTTTCGAGACTTCACTTCTTCGAGATACCTAATTAATAACATACGATGCCTATCACCCTTTTTCATATCCCAGTGGTGGTGGATATCATCACTGTAATCGCTTGAGAAAAAACGATGACCTCTGAAATGTCCCATGTGGAGAAACGGAACAGGTCAACAATTTCTTGCCGACCGATGTTAGACATCTCAAGAGGTCATGACATTGCACCACTAATGAGTGCTGCAGGTATCTAATGCTACGTGCAAGACAAGGCTTACTGAAGTCCAGCGCCAGTAAAAAGTAAACTTTTTGGGAACCTGTATTGGTGTGAAAATCACAGAATTACACTACTATGCTACGTTTCTTTATAATGTCTCTTATTACTAACGTTAGCAGAGTAGTTTAGATGAGTTTCACGTCTGATCTTGATGGCCTTTTTTGTTACACCGCTCATACGTTATTGGTCACCGTCACTAAAGAAACAGTGAGATTTTATTTTTAGCAAATAATGAGGTAAAATCAAGCATCTCCCTTTTATTTTACACCGCATCGAAGTTACTGGGGGTACTCATTGTTGGCCGCCGAACTGCGATCCACAATAATGAACCCATTTTCCAGTAGGGTAACCCAACCTGAGACAAAGTTCAACATTCTCATGAGAAATCCCAGGTGTAAGTAAACTTACCACAGAGTTACCACCCAGATTAAGTTCTTGTCAATGACGACAAGATCAAAGAGCTTCTCCGTGTTCTTTGAACACGAGGAATCCACTGGAAGGCTCTTACAGGTGACGAGATGAGCGAAGACTTTAGTGTTTCCACGTTACGCTACTCAGTAGAAATAATAAATAAAGGATAAAGCAGTCCGCATTGATCAGTCACTGAGGAATGCGTCATGCATTCGATTTCATTAAGTATCGTTGGAGGTGACTGAATGCATATCTGGTCCTCACAATGACGTAGTGGCATACCGTTTTATTGAGTCAGTGCTGCTATTCTCCCAGTCAAGTCTGGTACCAACTTGCCGACCGCGGGGGGTGGAGGCTCTGGTGAACCTAAGGCGCAAGAATCGACCCCTTATATATTGCAGGGCGCCTCCGACCATTGCGCTACACGCGCCCCTTAGTCAGTAGTTAGCAAAAATGGCGATAAAGGTCTTATAAGCATTATAGATGATAAAACAAGTGCAACTAGTGGAGTTGATGCAGCTGATGTGAGTGATAATCAACGTTCAACAGTTAGTTGAACGGGCTAAGACTAAGCCAACGTAGCTGATAAGACCGAAGATCTCTAGGGATAAACTAAATCGTTGTAAATGTCTAGATGTCTAAATGTAATTTCAAGTACTTATTCGAAACTCTTTGAAAACGAAGCATTTCCTCTCGTTCCTGTTTAGTAGTTATTTTTAAGCCTTCGTGTTAGAGAAAGAACAATTTGGATGGGGAGATCATCAGCTAGCGATCGATGAATTTTCGCGCCTGCTCAGAAGACTCCCCAAACACCTTCCACTCCTATGATTGATCGCCGTCATCGGTTTAGAGAGTGTTCAGTGTTTTCCTTTCTGTTGTTTATGGCTACTTCGAACGGTCCTGGGCTTGTCGAAAAGTTCATTGAATACTTTTCTTCTTGAAATTTCGTACAATCTTTCGACACAGAAGCTGTTGGTTACGCCCATTTAGAGTTTGGAATTAATTCTTACTTAATGCTGTTCATTCTAGACGTCCAGTTATTCGCCATGAACACCTTGCCCGAGCTAAGAAGAACCTGATGACTGGATGATTCACGCCAAGATCACAGAGGATTTTCACAGAGAGGTTTCAGTTCATATCGATTTTGTCGCAGTGGCCTTAGTGCGCTACAGCAAGTCCTTCATTGTCTGGTGAAGCCATTCACCGGTTTACTAACGGCCTTCAGAAGACGAGACACTTAGTGAGTGACCTAAGCAATTGCTGTTCGGTTTGCTTATCAGATCAGTTAGTGGGATGCGCAGTTTTACTCAATTTTTATCGAACATTATCTCCTTTATCAGGTGTTTTTTGGCTAACGATGAGCCGTTGTGACTTCATTATTGACTACACTATTACTGTCCCGACATTTATGCCTTAAGTTTATCAGTTTAGTCCTACTCTTAGAAGTTATAAAGTACTAGTTCAGTGCAGTTATATGGGCTAACGGCCAGAGTTTTTTAGTGTTGAGTTGGCAGCTAGTCAAAATTCTCGGTTGAATCCCCTTGTCTTCCAGAGTTCGAGCAGCTTATAGAATATCTGAAAGCAATATTAACCTAAAGATTGGGAAACGAGTTGCTTTTGCAGCATCAAGGGAAATTTAAGCAGAAGTCGAGCGAGAGTATGTCTTGCTGTGTTGGGCTACCCTTGCTGATGTCGTAGTGTCTTAGAGATTTAGCGAAGTAAATTTGAATCCAATGTGCCATCTTGATTTTCTACCACTATGATTTCCCACGTCATAAGAAGTAATATGAAAAACCAACAAGTAATCTTATTGAAGTCCAAGTTATATTTGTTAGTGTTAGAAGAGTTGGTCATTACAAAGCTTTAGAATTGGATCTGTTGTAGTTTACATACTGATATGACCATTAATCTCCACTCATTACGTCTTTGAGGCGATAGATTAACTTCGGTAACTAAGAAAGGATAATTCTTACCCCTTTTAGATTCCAAGAAGCTTGTTCTTACATCTTTCTATAGCATAGTTAATCAAATGTGACTAGAATGCTCGTTGTCTAAACTTGGTACCTCAAAGGTACCTTTCTCTTAGACTTGGTAGCTCGGTATGGAACCCTTAAACCATCATGAACTACCACTCTGTACTGCGATAGGGCCGCCTTTGAGCTACGGGGGTCAGCAGATGTCATGCGTTTCTCGAGGAAATGGTCTTAGCTGGTAGGAGCATTCACGGTTTTCGGAAACTAGTATCTTATCCAAAATCGTTCGCACCTTGTTTATGAAACGTTTGCCGATTCGCCACCTCCATATCCTGGGCAATTGATCCATTGGCACTGGAGGTTATTATTTTTCACAGAGTCATCTAAAAGTGAAGACTAAGATCTATTGATTTCCATAAATCAACAAATGTAGTGCAACCATTTCATCACCTCTTCTTTTCCTCATTCCAATGCCATTGTACTGTTGTCCTGTTCTGTTCGATTCATAAGAGCATATGACACACGGAGTACCTAAGAGTGCAAGAAAAATGGCTGCAGGATACATAGGGAGGTCCGAGGATATTTTGTGGGCGGTCATCTAGTAGCGACACCTATGACATTTCCCAAGACATTGCCCGATCCATGGATATACTTGCTACTTCAGTTATTTCTTGTACTTTCTCTAAATACACTGTTTGTCATTTTTGCACCATCACTATCATTGCACTACACTTTTTTCAGTATATACAATGCCTGCTGACATGTTAATGGATAATCCACCGTCGGTGAATCGGAAACGTCCATTGACCGATGCCACAATGGGGATGAACACTCCAAAACGGGAGTACTACCAGGACTTCAATCCATATCAATACATGAATATGGTGGTAACTTTACTCCATAGTTTCGCGATTCTTTTTGAACTTTTGGTTATGGAAACATCTATCATTTCAGATGAATTCGCAACCGATGTTCCAGTCCACGCCGTTTGCAATGCGGACCGATGACAATCAGCCACCATTTATGAGTGGAGAGTTCTGCTCGCCGGTAACAAGTTAACGACTTCAATGAAGGTGGAAACACTCATCTCTAAGGCAGGATTTTAGTTTCAGATGCACATGCAAATGAATACCTCATATACACCGTTCGCTTGTCCATCGATGAATTCTTCATTAATGTCAAATACATCCAGTAATGATTCCGGCATCAGTAAGCAACTAGTGTTTTTCCTTACAAGATTGCTAAATCTACGATTAATGCTAGTAGTCTATGATTAAGCGATTCAGATTTAGTAATGCAGAGTTTCAACTGGTATAATTGGTTTAATATTATCCTCTCTATTAAGTGAAACAGGAGCGCAGGTAGCGTTCTGCTTAGAGGTGCCATGCAGAAGTTCACGCAAGCTCAGTGGTTCTAATTCAACTCAGGCCAACGAAGTCTTCTATCCCGTCGATGGCGAAAATTGGCACCACACTTGTCTGAGAATCCTTCCACAAGGCGGGTGGTGAAAACCGTCCAACACTCCAATAGAACTATCCCAGAAAACCAGATAAAGTCTACCTGGCCAACATCTAATGGATCCCATGAATAGTAAAATCCTCGAGCAGCTCATCAACTCCTGAACCCACATTCAAATCCGAAGATCTTCGAAGGCGACGAATGCGAGGAAACGAATCATGGGTAGGAAGTGCTGGGATTCGCGCAGTATATGATGCCAGTCCACATGAATAAAAAAATTGAAACACTGAAATTGAAATCAAATGTTGGGATAAATTTACTTTCAGGTGAAAATAATAGCTTGTCAAGCTGTGAGAACACTCCATCAACGTCACACATTGAGAAGTCAACAACAAAAGACGATGAGGTGATGTTCCTAGTTCCCAGCCGTCTGAACCACATCAGTAAGAATAAGGTAAAGTGCCGTTTTTACTTCGACCACCTTCACAATAGCCTCGTGTAAGCCACTGGAGCTTTGTTAGGATTTCGTTTACACTGAAGACTTTTTAGATTAGTACGAAGAGTTTAAATAAAATAATTAAAAGAGTCCTTTAAATGGTTACATTCATTAGAGATTTCAAATGTTTCTTAGAATATCTCCTATCTTCGTTCATCTTCTAATCTCTCTGTCCTTGTTTAGACCATTGCCTCAAAGAAATGGAAGCATGTCGATCACTTTTAATTTAAAATGATTATGTTTCCCACCATAGTAGATAAGGAATCCTTAGAACTCCTCTTCTTTTTTTGCAATCGGTATTCGTGAAGGTTTTGAAGAATATCGGTTGAAGTCTCATGTATATGTTATACAAGTAATATTTCGCCTTCTGTTACAATTGAAATCGATAACGTAGGTTCACTGAAAAATGTTCGCGCTTCATTTAGAAACTTGTTTTCTATCTCTTCAATTAGATAATAGGTTTTCCTCTTTGTTCTGTTCTTATTCTTAGTATTCTGTTTTCGGCAAGCTGAGAGTTTGTGTAGCGCAATGGTTAGCGGCACTCTGCAATTCACCCGTTACTTTTGGCTCGGCCCCGCCCTTGGCAAACTAGGCCTTCTAACCTTCCAAGTTTAGGAAACGACATTAGACTTGTTTGGTAGGATGAAAATAGTGACATGATTCATCAGTAGGCTTTCGCAAGTAATTACATAAGGCAAATATATGCATTCATTCGCCTCTACGACATTCGATGTTGATAAATCTTCTCTTAACATTGCGTTATGCATTCAACTGCATTCGTTGTATCATATAGGTTGGTTAATACATACTTGGCCAATGCAATGAACTGCAGAATGTTTCACGTCGATAATTCTATCCTCCCAAATAGGGTTGGTACAACTTGACGACCCTTTAAGGACTGAAGACTTGGTTAACAGGGCGGAGTCAAACTCCTAACTATGCGTGCGCTGCACGAAATCTCTGACCAACACGTTTTCTGCATCCTATGTGTGTACATATTTACAACTTTCCATGAACATATACGAAATTGTAAACTTTGGTTTCAGGTCACTCTAGCTGAGCTGAAACGTCGCATTGCTGCGCCTGAATGTCTGAACAGCAGTTTTCTCGGGATCTATCTCAGACTGTCCGCGAGATTTTCTACTCCAGGATTAAATTATACTTACTTATACTTTTAGCCATAAACGTAGACCGTTCATCGTTCATCGTTGACCAGTGACATCGTTCACTTATAGTTGGCTGGGTTTCACCATAGAAATCTGTGTTCTGCTTATTTCGAAATTCGTCTTTCAGGGCGAAAACGAAGGAGGTCGGCAAAGAATTGAGAGATAACCTGGCAAAGCATGGAATATCACTTCCATCCGGCCGAAGAAAAGGAATACAGAATACCGTATTCACTTGCTTAGTTGAAGGTGCGAATTAACACATTCTAGAGCAAAAAGGTTTTGGGATTCATGTAGCGCAGTAGGTAAAGGTGCTCTGCGAAAAATACATGGTTCTTTGCTCGATCACGTGCGATGAGCAAATCAGACACTGCACTGCGCTCGACAACTTCGTACCAAACTTATCTGCAAGGAATGGTGAGCAACTGCATGATTACTTTTCGAGAGCAATGAAAGAGAGAGGAGAACTTGAGGACCTAAAATTTTGGCTGAAAAGACGTCCAACCACATTTCTGATTATGTGGATAATTTTCCAAAACATCGCTTTTACCCAAAATTTGCGTAAAACCCAAACTTTATCTTTTTTTTCCTCATATAATTTCTCAAAATCAGAATTGGTGGACACCACCTAACTTTGCATATGGGGCATCGTCGTGTATTGATGGAGGTCTCGGTATTGCAAACGTTTCGTCACTGGAGAGACGAACATCGACGAAATACTGAGAAAAGAAGGATTTCTGTGCTTCTGTCAAATAGAATTTTGTCTAGTTAGAATGACTAAACTTGCATGCAAACAACTATAGACCTAATCGTTTTTTTTCACTTAATGAGGTTCACTATGAACTGTATCATTGCTTAAAAAGGTTTTGTCCAGTGAGTCATTTCTAGTTTTTTTTAAAGCCCTTTTTTTTCGCCCATATAGGCATCGTGTACGACTCACACATCCTCTTGGATATGGTAGAATCAAGACGAAAATACCATGATTTTTGGTTTTGTTTTTTTCGGAATCTTGTTTTCCTTAGAAAAACTTTTTGCATTGCCCTTTCGTTCTTTAAAATCTGTTTTAAGTTGGTTGTCTACTGTTTTTTAAACGTTCGCTGTAGTAATAAGATTAAGCAATATGGAAGATATGCCAATGGGAAGTTTTGATTAATGGATAATATTTATCTACCGTTCTTACCAAATATTCACGTCCAACTGAAAATATGCTGGACTAAGTTCTACCCAAATTTCGTATTATTCGTTTGTTTATCTCAGTAAAAATAAATCTTTTTTAAAAATAGTTGTTCTGTTTATAAATAACTCACATCGTAATAGATGTCCTACTCGATACTTTCAGAAGAAGCGACACAGCTCGGGCGTGACATGCACACCCTTGTTCAGCAGCATTATCCAGTACGTCCGCTAATCGACATGGCCGCCCGGAAGACGATCAGTCATCCCGAAGAACGACGGAGGGATCTTATTGGAACTATGTGAGTTATAGAATGATGTGGATAGACGTTCCTTTTCCGAGAACCCTGTGAATGAAGTACATCGTGAATCGAAAATGATTCTGTATTCCTGTGTTTTTTCACTTCTTCTGTTTTATAGAAGTAGAAATGCACCTGTCGTTATCATTCTTCTAGATGATACCATAGTAACGTAGCCGAGAATATTACTTTTGATGATAGCAAAAAAGGACTTAGAAATAAGACAATGGGTTTAAGGACAGGAACCGACATTTCCAATCGCTGGTGTCAGTGGGTTGCAACTATATCATGAACTTTTCTAGATGAATCAGTTCTTGGATGTTAGAAGAAAACGAGGTTCTTCGCTGTTTCGTCACCAAATAGGTGAACAAATGAGTTGAAGGATAGTCGTGGGTACGGAGCTGACCTGGGGTTTTAAGTTCTGTTCACATCTCAACATTATTGGCGTTATATCTTACGTAATTTCCTGTCATGTAAAAAAAAGAACCGGTAGTTAAAAATTAATGTTAACAGTTAAATTAAGTGAACTATGCTAAAGGCCGAACAGTTCAAATAAGTGAATTTGTTCAAACGTTCAACGGATGTATCTCGTTTCAAAAATAGAATAGATTTTTGGAAAACACTAAAAAAAAGAATGTGCATTGAAACCAGTGCACACGGTCCACTCTGCCCAACCCTCTATGCGTTAACATTACAGCACATCAGTAACCTTGTGCAGACGTTGTCTGTATTTCACTTCATATTTTTTCGAATTTTTTTCAGAATACTAAAGGCTGTTCACTAGTATAATTCTGTTGTACGCAGATTAAGGAATGTAGTTTATTGTAATATGGATAAAATCTCCAAATGGTTAATTGATTCCTACCAAATTTGTTGCTTGTTGATCCGACGAATAGTTCCCTCAAATTGAGAGACTATGTTCAACAAAATTTTTCACGTTCATCAACAAAGAAACTCTAAAAAAGTTTCTAGTCTAGTTGTTGATAGGTCATTGACCATATGTTTCCATGTTTTGGAAAGAGGGTACAGTGAGAATACACCTATCATTGATGATGCTAAACGTGTTTAGACGAATACTGGACGAATTAAGCACTATGTTCAACGAATTACAAACACCTCTAGCCAGCCGCATACAGAACAATGTTCCCATACATAATGAACTTGAGATCGGAATGAATCACTTCAGTCTTGTGAGTTTCACTCTTTTGTTTAAAATTTCAGTGTTTTGGAGTTGAATTTTAGCGGTCTTTTGGACCAACTACTCCTTTCAGATCACTCACACTTTTGGCCCTATCAATCAATCCACATGGTGTAATGCTTTTTTGAACTATGCTAAGATGTCACTTTCCATGTATCAGAATCGTGGATCGGAGCAAGTGAACCGACAGGTGTCTCGAATTCTATATTGGTTGCTAGAGCTTTTCATTCAAATTTTCATATTCTGATTAGGTTTACTTAAAAATGGATTAATTTCGACTTCAAATCGTCAACTACGTAGAGTTCACAGATATTTGGAAAACAGACACGGAAATCTCCTCTATTAAGAATTATGACAACTTTCATCTGGTTTCAATAAAGTCATTTTTCAGTGTTTCTAACTACAAACACCCGTATTCTGAAAGTGTGGACTCAAATCGCATGAGCTTCCCATCCCTTACAGGTAGTCTACTGCAGTTCTTGTTTTGATAGGTTGACTCGTGATTCTGGTTTGCCCTTACTTAGATGGCAACTTCTGACATTATATATAAGCTACATCGGGTCCTCATTGTTTTACTGTTTTGTTAACATCATCAGCGGGTGTGGTCGGCTCTCGCTTAAAGATGTGCCGTTCTTTTGGCATTCCGAACGGTGGTAGAACGTGGGTAGCCCAAAAAATGGTTGGACGTGGTTCTCCTAGGACTGCCAATAGGTGCTAAAATGTTTCCATGTGTTTTCGCAAGTAGTGGTTATACACATATGATAGAGAGGGAGGTTTGCGGCTAAGATTTCCCAGAACAGCGGCGATTTCTTTGATTAGGTGTAATTCAGTTATTTCCTGTAATATGAGTCAATCACATCCACGTTGTTACGATACGATCCAAGTGCATAGTGCATTTCTAAGATTGATCAACACCGGTCTTTTATTTTGTGTTATCTATGTACATATGCCATGAATAAGTAGAGCCGTTGCAATAAAGGCAAGAATTCGAGACCGAACTTACCTTCGCCTTGGGGCAATTACATGGTCGCTTCGGTCCTCTTTTAACCCGTAATGACCGATTCACATCGATTCAGACGTAGCTTTGCGTGCATTGGAGTTGAAATCACGCATAAGAAAAATGAGCGGAAAGATTGAATACATGGAATCTCATCAATTGAACAGACAATTTTTCAGTGCACTCACTAATCAGCTTATGTTTTGAACGTCGATCGATCGTCGAAGATTAGGATATTATTTATTTAATACTTCATATTGTTGTATATCGGATTTGTATAAGATTATTATTCGTTCTATTACAACACAAGTAACGCAAGTACTAGTGTTGGTGATTCATTCTTTTCTAGGGAAGATATCTTATTATTCAACATGTATAATGGGCTGTTCGATAGCGTTATCTCACTAGTAATAAGATAATAATAATTGTATTGTAAGACAGTTCATGCTAATAAACGTTCACTTGACACTGGTTGTTTTTTCGACGAATTGAGCCTTCTAAGCAGCTATTCTGGTCTATGACTTTGTGAATGAAGGGCTGATCGACTCGCCCATACCATGTTTTTGTTTGCGACCCTTTCATTCTCAATTTTTGCTAATACACACAGATAACACCTGATAACTTTATGGTTAAAGGAAGGATTGGGCTACCGATGGTGATTTTTACGGATTCTCTAAGAGTAGATGTTGGTGATATTGGTGATGTTTGTTGGAGACAACATTCAAATATTGCTTTTACACTTCATAGTAAACTAGCCGTAGAGTTTCAACTCTTCAATACTACTGGATCAATCTTAATTAGTGGGATGACCCGTTCACATTGCTTGTGCGAGCTTCAACACGATCTCCATTTTTTCGGAGTTTTACTGGTTGTGGTTACCTGGAGTCGCGTGTCATCCTGGCCAAAGCCTGTCCAAATACTATCCGTTTCACGAACCTCCCTTAAAAAAGAGCTGCCGAGTCGGCTGGCTGTCAAGCCGTCTGGCACGTCAGCAGGTAGCAAGCAGGCGAATCAGCGCTGATCTAAGAGCGTTTGCTGGACCTAGAGGATTCAGCTGATAGACGCGATATCGCAGTTGCGACAGATTTCTACGTTCTATGTACGTATTACCACATTATATGCATACGTACATTATTTCGTCATAAAGCTTACAATCAGACGAATGTCAATATTAGGTAGTAATTCGGAGGTACCTTCCGCAAAGAAATCTTGCCTTTAGTGTAGTAGAGTCCCACAAAACATTCACTTATACATGAAATCTCCTATAGCACGACAGAATGCTGAGAATATCTTCATCTCAAAATACGTAAGTTAAATATTACGTTATGTTCATGGTCCTTTGAAGTGATCAAAATTCATTCCACGCCCGTAAGAAAGACGAACAGGACCTTCATTGTTGCCAGTTGATCATTTGATCATTAACATGTATCGCAACCAAACGATGATGGGTATAAGGTTTAACACAAGTAGACTATGATTTATTGTAAAATTATTAACACAACATACAGCGTAAGTGGCTACAGCTTATGCGTGCCAAAAATTGAGTCCCTTAATTTGTAACAAACGTATCTGACCTTACAGTGAAGTTCATTAGTTTATATAATTGTTTATTGATAGGCTAACAGAGAAAAAAATTATAAAATTCTATTCCCATTGATGTTTGCTTTGCGACGACCGCCTTCCTCACAACCGTAACGATTTGAGTCTAATCCAAGAGTTCAGAGTACCTAGCAAATGGAGTGACCTCAGCTGTTAGTGCTCTTTAATGAAAGAGGAAAAAACACCAGAATGTTAGCCACAATAGTGCTTTGTAATAACCTCGCTTAACCTCGTCAGTAAGCAAGGTTACTGACTATAGTTTCCGGGAAATCGATAGAACAATGTTTTAATAAATGATGTGAAAAGTACGGATGTTCACACGACGTACTCAGTGGAAGACTCATAGAAAGCGGCTCTGAGGAAGGCGAAATCCGCTGAAACGTCAGCTTTCACGTGAATGGGGAAGTGGAATAGCACCTCGTGTTTGCTGAACAGAAGCGGAAGGAATTGTTCAATCAATGCCGAGGTTAATAGAAAGTCGGACGTGGAAATGAAAAGTGGTAGAATGTACAGACCACTACTAATAAGACTTCAACTTTATTACTGTATCGAAACATCATTGTTTTTCTAGAACCTAAAACTTTCATATTCTACTTTTTTCATCAACGATAAAACTCCGACTGAAAAAGCGGGCTTCTACTCATCAGTACGGAGTCTGCCAAAGTACTATGCATGCAATCACTTCTCATTGAAAATTGTAGCGTTAAAAGAACACTTTGGAAAACTACGTATAACTCAATATTCACAAATCTACACAATGGTACCAGGTTTATCTGACATTACCAACTTTTTGGGTCCTAAAGTCTTGTTGAAGGAAATTCACAACATTCGAAAGACATACATATTACAATGATGCGTATACTAGTATATCCAATATTAGGATTCTCAGCTCTTCTCTTTACAAAAGAAATATCACTTAAAACTTTACAAATGGCTACAACCATGTAGGAATACACTGACCGGAATAAATATAAGCAATGATAGTGACGGCGAAATCCTGAGCATTCTACTTGTGAGTCTTCGTGGCCAACGATTACTTACAAATAAAGCTTACTACATCAACATACTCTACTTTTCACATACACTGTCCCTTGCTCTCTCAAAAATTTTAAATTGGCTTTTTTTTAAAAGGCTAAAAACAGGGAGCAACTGTATTCACCTCAGAACAAAGTGCTCAAACACTAAAGTACAATACCATAAAGAAATTCCATGACATTGTAAAAAGAAAAGTGATAGACGCGATTTCACAGCAATGTCACACTTTTGTCATCCTCGTTCTTATGGCAAACTGGTACTCCATTCGAAAAATCTGCGAATAACCATGTTTTCGACAAGTAGGGTTATAGATAATTCGCAGTGAGTACATCTGAAGTAAGTTCCGAAATCACCATATATCTGAAAGAGCAGGTTCATCTTAAACCAGAAATAATTTCAGCCAGAAGATTTAATGCGCAGAAAACACACTTCAAACATGAATCAACTCCTTTTGCGATTCGTTCCAATTCCGTTTCTGCAGCTCTACGAACTCCTGGAGAGGATGTTTGTTTTGACGACATCGAACATAGTGCTCTTCGAAGCCTCGAATCAATGCCTGAAACGTGACCAGAATCACTGTAAAAATATTCTATATGAAAAATATGAGCTAAGGAATGTACTGAATTACTGCATATCTAGCACACTACTGATTATTTTCCTTAACCCTTTTATAAAATGTATGTGCAACATATGGGTACATTACAGAACTGGACAGCTTTTCAACCGAAAATCAAAACTTTTTGCTTTCCGCATTCTTTGAAAGCTGAGAAATTCAAAGTGGATCAATCTTCTAGAGTCATTTGCCCAAGTGGCAGCTTAGTAAACGAAAAAAACAGACCTTTAAGCGTAAAGGAACCCAAAAACGTGAGAGTAGACACATTACTCCATAGCTGCATTCGCAGAATGATATAAGGTACACCCAACTACTACTGATACTATATATTTGTTCTTAATCATTTCTAACACATTTGTACGAAAAGTTTGAGCTGCATGAAGGAAAGACATAAGTTTATTAAATGCGTACATTTTAGATGGGGAATCAAAATGTGAGTCTTCACTTTCCGTCAAAAAAATTAGTGTCTCTTCCCAGTCAAGAATGTTTGATCTAAACAATTAGTAAAGTAGAAAAAAAAATAAAACAAGAGACACATGGTAAAACATTCGCTTTGGATTAGACGCTGGCTATAACGGCATCCAGAAACAGCTTTTAATTTACAGACTAGTAAAGATTAAAAGTAATGAATTGTCACTACCAAGGGATCATAGTGTTCGATGATCTTCGTCGAGAGAATTTCGAAGACATCACAATTTTTGAATTCAACAACGGCAAAAAGAAGGTCGGCGCGCCTAATAAACCAGTGAATGCGTTCCACCTAAATTATCGTCGATCAGACGCGAATAAGTAATAAAAGACATAAACAGTGTAAAAACATTTCGTATACCTGACCAGACTACTCTCCTTCTATCTCTCAATACTTTACCTAGTGTGTTTAACATACATGCCTCTTGTTATAAGCGAAGGCCATGTTCCTGCCTTTTTTTATACAAACTGTGCTTCAGTTTCTCGCAATGCAGTTTTCTAGAATATTACTTCTATTATTTATTTATTTTGTTATTGTTTTACTCAGCCACCTTATATTTATTGTAAGTTATTTCCTTTTTCTAAAATTTTTATCAACCTCGCGTAAGCTCATCAATGAAGGAATACATGTCGGTTAGTCATGCCGAGGTTAAATGTACGTTGGTTTTGAAATATTGTTACGCTTTACACTATCTTATAATGATATCGATTTCTGCAAAACGGATTGTCCGGGAAAAACAAATGTTTATCACCGGAAAATCACTCTTATCAAAGAGCGTCGCTGGGTGTGTTCGGCTTATTCAAGACGCCCAGCTGAGGAAGATCCGGTTCGATGCGAGATGCAGAAGCTGTATCGAGAAGAGGAACAAGTGCGGATGTGTCAAGGGATTGCACAATATAGTCTAACGGTTCTTTACCAAAGTCAGATATCAATGCGAATCAAAAACGATGGAAGAGTTTTTTTTTTTTACCATGCAGTGGGGTTTAGAGTTGGACATGCTTCAAAAGCATAAAAAGATGCATAGAAGAAAATAGAGGATAAGTACGACACTAAATATCACAAACGAACGAAAATATGAGTAGTAAAATCGAGTAATAAAACGAAAAACGCAACAAAACCGACGGATATTTTGATGGGTGATCGCTGATGGCACGAATCGATAAAGCTAACTGACAGACACGCGAAATGAAGGATCCGCATGGTGTGGTGGTGAACACGTTGGCCCCAGGAAATGATAACAGCGCGTTCGTTCCCACCGCAAAAACCTGCGGTACGGAGTTCTGCAAATCTCTCAGCAACGTTTTGGTTGTCTTTTGCTTAATACCCTGCCGTAGAAATTGTACTACGCAGAGAATAAAAAGTGACAGAGTTGTACGTTGAGAGGAGGGAAAGCGACTTCAAAGAGTCACATACAGTGTGCATGGCAAGAAATGAGGAGTCGGTATCAGTGATGTCATAAACTTATATTAAACAAAAATAGTAAAAGGATAGAAGGATAAAGCTCTCCGCGTTGATCAATCCCTGAGGGATACGCCATACATTCGTTTTCATTAAACATCGTTAGAGGTGATTGAATGCATACCTGGCCTTTACAATGACTCGCGGTGGCTTACCGCTGTATTGAGCCGGTGCTGCTATCCTCCCACACAAGTCTGGTAGCAATTTGTCGATCGGGAAGGGTGGAAGGCTTGGTGGGCCATGGCGCGGGAATCGATTCCACCTAATCGACCACAGAAAACAAACAGGTAGTTTTAATGAATTACTGAAACGTGATCTGGGGGTACAATTCAACTAAGACCAAAATCCTCAGTAAATGAATCAAAATATGATAACGTAATTTAGTATCTAGTACATATTGGACCACCAAAATCACAGTGACAACAATAGCATGGATTTTTCAGTTGATGGCTCAGAAAGAAGATAAAACAGCTCACTATCTCTAGAACATTGCGAAGCACTTTCTTATTCTTCCTTTCGGTAATTTAAGTCTACGTGTCAACTGGAGGCGCGTATGGCGCAGTGGTCGGAGGCACCCTGCAATGCACACGTGGAATCGATCTCCTCGCCCATGGCCCACCAGCCTTCCATCTCTCCGCGGTCGGTAAATTGGTACCAGACTTGCCTGAGAAGATAGCAGCACTGGCCCGATACATTGGTGAGCCACCGTGAGACATTGTAAAGGCCAAATATGCATTCAATCACCTCTATCGACGCTTAATGAAATCGAATGCATGGCTCATACCTCAGGGATTGATCAACTCCCAGAGCTCTATCTTTATGTTTATGACAATCACTAGTATTATGTTATAGTTTAAGTAGAGAAAAATATCACACCTCATCTTGTCAGTCTACCAAATTATTGAGAAAAACACACTTATTACACTGCTAAGAAACACCTTTAATTACCTTTGCTAAGAAGTCCTAGTGACCCTGTGCTACCTGTAAACTTGTCTGGAGAAAACACTAAAGTTCCTGCTCATCTTCCGCGGTCTCCTTCCATACTTTTTACGAATTTAACGATCCATACGTCGTATTATCCCATCTTTTAATTGTTTTTATAGGGCTAAGTCCAATATATGAGGGTTTTGGTTATTGTTGAATAATCAATCTAGCCATCCACATGAAATTTGTTTCAAATTTCGTAACTACCTGGTGCGTTAATATGCAAATCATTTTGGCATATAAAATTACGCACGATGCAAAAAATATCTGGAGAAAATTGTTAGTGAAAAAAAAAGAAAAAGAAAAACTTACTGTTAATCCTCTTTCGAATCCATGTGGCCCGATAAACCACTTCTGTGATCCAGGCTAGAAGATAAAGGTTCTAACAAAAAGACAGATAAAAAGAAAATGGCATACAAAAGGTTAATCCCAAAAAAATACTTCTTTATTAGCTGCATGTATCGTTGAGTCTGCTGATGCGCTCACGTCCATATCGACTTCCGCCGCTTCCTAAATGAAGAATGTAGAAACATCATATCCCTTCATCAAATAGTTGTTCTTAAACCAAGCAAGTTATGTGCTGGTGAAATTTATGACATAAGAATCCTTTCATGGCTGACGTTACTACTTTCGTTTCACTTTTAACACTTTCGCAGAGAGTAACTAGATAAATTCCACTTTCTTCATGATGACTTATTTTAACATAGAGAACTACTTTCCTATAGTTTTTGTTATCAAATGATAGCTTTTAGAACACAGACGTAATATTGGGTGTTGGTCGGGAAAATCTCTATTCTGCGCCTAAAAAAAATACAAATTTATATTTTTGTACAATACATACCAGACTATATATTCATACTATACATATACAAGACTAATTCGATCCTGATTGCTATAGTGGGTGATATTATCGTATAAAGTGTGCGGTTATAAAAAATGCTGAAATAGATACCTATAAATTGCAAAACATGTAAATGTGGACCCTCCAAAACTCCTATCCTTCCAGGATCGGACAGTTAATACCAGTTTGTCGGAAATTGGCTCGCTGCCTTCCGATACACAAAAGATGGCTTCTGCTTGTTATGATGATTTAGGAACGCCCTAGTATTACTAACCCACAAATCGAGTGAGAATTGAATCTACCAGCAGCCGAAAACATACGTAAACCTGAACTTTACTTGACGACGGGTCCATGAAAACGAAATAAATGCAAAAAGTACTGGAATTCGCACCTTAAGTGCAGCTAAGTTGAAGAGAATAGAAAGACCGTTCTATTACCTGAATGAACCTAAATGAAATGTGAAAGCGAAAAATTCAACAGCGGTAGAAATCACGCGCCGTTTTTCTATTGCACACATTTTAAGGAATGAAACCACGCGTATGTTCCCTGGGACGGTAGATGAGACTCACTCCACTAAACAGATTAATCAGAGATGTAGTGCCATGGTAGTGAGGTAACCTATTTTCGGGCGTCCCAAGATCTATTCCCCAGATGTATTTACCCGCCTATGTTCTTGATTAGCACATAGTAAATAATGGTGATGAGTTTTAATACTTGTACGTGACCTCTACAGGAGTCATTTGTTAGTGGACACAGTGGCCAGTGAGACCCCTATAGAGACCGCTTTGTCCTCGGTGGCTTATTTTGTGCGTAGAACTACTTTAATACACTTCTTATGCTTAAAAATTGCTCCAACATAGCTTTTGTGGCGGGCCTTGGTCGAGGGAAGTTCTTCTCTACACTCAGAAATATACAAAAAATCTGATCTCTAACGAGTTCAATGACCGATAATTTCACTAGTAATTGACTGTTATTTCAATTCTAATAACTATAATGAGTCGTAATTAACACGATAAATGGTGTGGCACAAAAATATAGAAATAGATTTAACATGAACTGGAAAACACTTCCGAATGTCTACAACAATGTATTTATTTGGCAGATCATAGCCAGATTTAGCAAACAGCCGCATTTATATCACTTATACCCATAGAACGACATAGAAAAATCTCTTATGTAGGCCTGCGATGTTCACAACCCGTCAACTCTTTTGGTTATCGAAATACTACCATCTATTTTTGAAAACCACCCAACGGTAATTTGTTGCTTTGATGTTTTCAACATCCAAAAAGATGGATATAAGTTGGAAAATATTGTTTTAAATATTAATGTGGAGGTAAGTAATATCGAGTGCCTCTGGGACATACATTAATTTAACACAGCCAGAAACACAGAAATTTCCAGCCAACTGAACCTACTCGTTTTGGATTTACTAGGATAACAGAATATTAATTACTAGCTCATAAACATTCAGCAGTTATAAAAAGAAAAATTAACCAAATGGTTTAACGTCCTATATAGGATATCCATCGATGCCCAGTGACGTCTTGTAAGCAATTGCTCAAACAGAACCGCATCGTGAGATGTAATCTTCCCTTTTTACAAGGAGATAATGCTTGTCCATCACGTGTGACTGACTCGTCAAATGGTATGCATATTCTCGTCTCGTCGTTAAGAAATTAACCGTTGGCAATATGTGAGAATTTCCATTCAGTTAACAATACTAAGTGTTGATCCTGCACCGTAGAACTCTTACCCTAAGGTCCAAAGTGATTCGCTTCTTACGAACACGGTTCTAGATTAATTTTAAAAAATTGCACCATACAACTTCTTATCTACCGCCATGTCCGCCCAAAAGTATACGAAAAAAAATTGTTGAGCCAAGTTTGTACAGCAGTGCGCAATTACCTGAGAAAATTTTCCAACTAGAAAATTTTGAGGGAAAACTTACTTCGTCCCTATGATATAAAAACTGTAACCCTAATAAAAGCGACTTGCTAGGCATAGGTGTGGAAAACATGGAGATAGCAAACAGAGACAAATACTACAAGAGTCATTAACTTCCATCTCCATCTTTAAAGAGAGTTTTCTACGGTGTCTTGGACCTGAAAACTGTAGACTAAGCATCTAGGATGCGTCCACGCCAAAAAGCCACACCAATATCTGCACAGTTCTGAGACAATAACAGTTAAGTAATAAGCAAAAGGGCATAAAATGAGCGGAAGAACAAACGGAAGAATGATTACCATCAAGAAGGTTTTCTCGAATGAGTCGACTAGACGATTTTGGAGAAAGGTAAGGCTTCTAATTATCACGTGAGAAGCTGGATACTCGAATAATCGTCAGAGATATGAGAAAATAGACAATCGTTCCGTTCGACTATTGATAAAGGCATTATTAGTAGTAAACACAGTTAATAAATAAAGTATGATATCCAAACAAATCGTTCTGAACTCAATTTAAGCTTTAACACAGAAAACACTGGGCAAAAGCTAAACCAAATGGATTCATCTACCTTGCATAGTAATTTACTCGTAAGAAAAAAAAACTACCAACCTCGTGGCCATTTGCCGATGGAGTATCGATTGTGGATACATGGACTAAATTGTTAACGCTGAAAATATTAGCAAATCACATCGGAGTGGCAACCTTACACGATTCTATTTGGTGTATAGAAAAGCTTTATAGTTTTAGTAAAAACCAGTTTAAAACACTAAAAAAATATCGTGAGTTCCGGATATGTTAAATGGCTAAATATTGGACATGTAACAGCAGTGCGAACATTTAATCTAAGATGTACAAGACAAAGAAATACCTGGAAGTGCAGCTGTTACCGCTGATATCACCAGCGGTCGATAAAGACGAAGATGCCAAAGGACTGATCGTGTTGGCAAGGGATTGTGCAACTCCACTTTTAGTTAACAGTGATGACCGAACTACCTGAACTGGTGTGATTCACTGGAAAATTCTTTCATTAAGATTGACAAAAGTTAGCGAATCCGAACAACCCAAATATTCAAATAATACCATTCGAAAATTTTAGAAATAAGGAAAGAACTAGGAAACAAACCAATCTTTTAATCTTAACTTAATGTGCTTAGATGTGAAAACGGGACACATGGAAGAACCACTTGCGGTGAAAACAAACACATAAGGCTGGAATGCGAAGAGGCACAACCAAAACGATATTAGTTGTTGATATCGCGGCTTTTTGGTCAAAACTACCTAGACAACTAAGTGCCGAATGAGCACCGGACCACTGTTCACTAGAATAACGAAAGAAGGACAAAGCTTTCCGCGTTGACCCACCCCTAAGGTGATGCGTCGCGGATACAACTTCAACCATCGTTAGAGATGACTGAGTGTATAGCTGGCCTATAGAATGACCTACGGTGTACTTACCAATGTGTCAAACAAGTGCTGCTATCTTCCTAGACAAGTTAGAGCACCCGGAGGAATGGAAGGCTTCATAAGCACACGGTGCTGGACTAAACCAACGACCACGTGTGCTCTACAAAGGACTTCTAACCACTGTAGCTCCAGAATGAAGTAATAATTCCAAATTCCACAGCTTTTGGTGCAGATGTATCGAACAATCGAAAGAAGAAAGTCAATGTAAAACCCTTACTGTCTCGACCTTTCGTTCTTTCCTTTTGGATTGACCTTGTCCCAGAATGTCGCTCTTATCATTAATTACATGTATAGTTGAATCACAGGTATTTCCGTTCGTGTCGGATGAGTCGACAATGGCGTTGCCAGAACTGCGGTCTAAAATACTGGAGAAGTTCAGCACAAAACAATTCAAGATTACGAAAGTATTTTTACTTTTAACATTAGCAGAGTCGAATTTTCTTTCATTTCCCCAAGACGCTATTACTTATGTTCTCAAAGAAAATGTGAGCTTAATGCATAGCAGAGGGTCGAATAGTCCATGAAAATATATCCATAACAGAGATCTAATCTAGTAAATGTAATTTTGATATTGATATTGATGCTTCTAAGTTATCAGCACTTGCTTTCCTATAGAAGCACATTTACTTCGATACTTGGATGGCCTGTGCTCACTGGTAGTGCGGACTTCATCATAATCTCCATTTTTTTTCGAAGTTTAACTGGTTTAGCCATTGTGGCTCCCAGGAATTTCGAGGTTGGTGCCGCCACTCTGCCCCAGGTCGTCACCACCACAGGTAGTCGCCGCCCTTTCGGATCAGAGTCAGATTTCCCACCCTGCAACCATGATACCAGGACTGTGGTGGATCCTGGTATTGGTTTACTCTTAACTGGAAACTTCTTAATGGAAGCGCCGGACTCCTTCTCAACTTAGGATACTCTGCCAGGGGATGAATGCTTCCACTGTGCATCGCAACCCACCATCCTGGAATAGCTCCCAATCACGATGAGGCGGTTAAGCGTTGGCAGGATAGAAGCATATTATTGTGATCAACTGTTTTCCTCAACAATGAAAATAGTTACAGCTATTGAAAAAACAAAACTACAGAAAAAATAGTACAAAACCAATTATCTCACATTGGTGCTGAGTGTCCATTTCAAGTTTTCGTTTGGCTTTTGAAGACTGAACCTTCAAATGGAGCCTTTAACATAATGAACAGAGAATTCGACAAGCGAAAGGCAAAAGGACTGACATGTCGTTTCGAGTAAAAGGATTTTCTACCGCAAATATCCAAACGTTGTTGATTCACTCCAGTACGGCTCGACACCTTCTCCCAGTATTCCCTCACAGCCTCAGGGCAGTCCTGAGAAGAAAAATGAACATACAATGAGTGAGTGAGGGATTGAAATGGTAAACTCCGTAAATTTCAATAGATTCGAACCAAAACACTTGAAAAATGAACTCCGAATTCAATTCAGATATGAGACAATAATTTATTATAATGTTAACATTTTATTTGCTTCCTAGTACACTTTTTCACGCCAGGGTATCATGCGAAATACAACCAAGATGATGCTGAGATATTTGCAAAACTCCGGACGGCACGTGTCTGCGATGGGGTACGAATGCACTTTTACTCTTTCTGGGGATAACGCGTTCACCACCACACTATGCGGGTCCTTCGTTTCGCGTATCTCAGCTAATTTTCTATCTTAATAATTAGATTTTAACAAATAACTTTAATGATAATTTATCTCAGTAAATAATCCTGGTCATAATTTACTAGTTGTGGAATATAAATTGACCATAAAGACTAAATCACTTTCAAGATTACCTTAGTAGCAACTAGTTCTTCAAACCATTTTCATCAAAGATATCATAATCCTAAAAATCGCTCCTACAAAACAAATTTCTGCCGTTTTTTCTGAACAACACAACTGCCCGATAAAAACTTACCATATTTGAAGGATCCAACCATTCATCGAACTCCTCTGACCATCCACACCATCGTACTTTGTATTCTGTACTTCCATGACGTACTCGATGAGCAACTATACATTCAACCTAAAACATCCCCACACAAAGATTTCGTGTAGGAACACGATATGAAATAGTTTACTGGGACATGAACTAATCAGAGAGTCATGAGTCGCTTTCTAACCACGACTAATCCCTCACAGCACTTTCCAAAGGCACACCAAAACAGAAAGAAGTAATTAGTGCCAACAGTCATCTTATAACCACAATGATGCTGAGGTATTTGCAAAACGCACCGCTAGTGTGTCTGCAGTGAGCACCGAACACGCTTTTACCCTTTCGGAGGGCTAACGCGTTCATCACCACACCATACGAGCCCTCCGTTTAGCCTGTTTCTCAGCCAACCGGCTTACAGTTTCCTCTCAGTGAATGTCGTTTCCAATTGCCAAAACATAGTGGATAACGAGTAACAACATACAACATACCTCATAAACTCCTTCAGAAACTTCAGACTCAGTGGGCAGATCCTAAATGGAAGCATGATATTCCGACAGAGAAATGCAATGCGCTCAGCATTTTGAGAAGCACGATGCAAACCTGAGGCTCTCCAATCGGCGACCCGGTGCGACGAGCACTACGAGACTTGTCCTTTCTGCCCATAACAAGAATCAACAACCGTATTACGCTCTGCTATCACTATAACAGAAATTCACAACTGATCAGACAGAAACGGAAAGCAGCAGAAAATAATAGGTGCCACCCCTATTGATCCAAGCCTTTCGTGCCGCGTCCACTTTGGCATGGTTGGCGCACCGCTCGAACCTTAATTCGAGCACGTTTGCTGAGCGCATTGAAATCAACTCGTATGGTCAACGACTTGCGGCCTATCGACACGGCGCGCTGGTTTCCTTTGTGGTTTTGTCTTTCACTTGTTTCTTTTTCATTTTTTCTGCATGTTTTCACAGAAAGGTCCACGTATTCGCTATGTTTTTCTATATGTGTTCCGGTGTTCTTGGACCCCATATCTTACTTAGTAAAAGAAAAACTCGTACACCATCTAATCATGGTCCCCTTAGCCCTTCACATGATTTTGCTCGATATTTTAAGTGTATTCCTGTGTTTCCCATGTTTTCTATCCCCATCGATTCCATACTGTTAGTATGCTTGATGATAACAGTTGTAAAGGAAAGAATTATCAACTACTGGTCAAAAATTGGATGCCCATAAGCGTCTAACTACACTCCTGTCAGCTTTTCGCATGGCAAGAACGGAAAATCGTACGCATCAAAATCTGTATGGATGGCCAGTAGTGCACACCAGCGTACATATTGAAATCAATGCGCATGGTCACGAGAAGGCTAACGACTAGACAAAAGCCGTTAGTGATTCGGTGGCAGAGAATGTGAAGCGCTTAACACCGACGTTGTGGTTATAATTCTTCACGGTGATGCTACAGAAGAAATATATGATGGCGAATTCCTAGAGCGAACAAAAACCACTGAGGTACTCTTCTACCTGAAAAGCAATAATGTAGACTTTTCTTGCACATGTTCGAATCAATCGGCTGTCAGTGAGGGAGGGCTAGTTATATAGCTCATTTTATCCCTTAACTATACAGCTTAGTTATCTATTCCGTTGTGCACAAAGATGGACTACATTTGAAGTATATTTGACAAGAACAGTGAACTAAAAGCATGGCCTTAGACTTGAATAGGATATCCAACTTCATTTACGCGGTGTTGCACATACTGAGAAAGAAAGTCAAAGTTACCTTAGCAGTTGAATAACTTGATAGCGCTGGTGTAATGTGCAACTTTCATTTACTTTAGTTCTACAATTTTAAGGAGCTTTGGAAACAAAGAATTGTTCGAGAATAATTTCACCTGTCCTTCCGTTGATCGTCGAGTAACTCGAAGGGCCTCCGGTAAACTCTTCATCCCTGTTGCGCATAACAGTAGCCTCGTAGGTTCTGCTCACTGTAGGTGCTCACTGAGTTCCAGACCTTCTTGATACTTTCTGAAGAATTTTGAATAATGAGTTGGTGGCCTTACTGTTGTGCGCTTGACATCACGTGAAATCCCGACACCAACGGATCTTCTCTATTGCTTCTCATTACGACACATCACGTTTCCAACAACACAGCAGATTTCCGACATTTTGGCGAGCAGAGCGACGTTTCTGATTGCCAGTTGCTGCCTCAGGTTGGATGTTCGGATGAATATTCTGAGATATTCATCCTGTTATGCTTTGATAAGGCATCAGAAACAAACCCATTTTTCATTAACATCGTTTTCAAAAGATTTCATCGAAGACCAACCTTTCCACAAGCGTTATCGAAGTCGACCTACATAACTTCTGCTTGGCTAATGCTTGGTGTTATAATAACAATACCATCAGCAAAACCGTAGTGCTGTAATTGTCGACATCGATTTTCACTCCAATGTTGTACCATTCCAGTTTTTGCTTGACGTTCTTGAGAGTTCCAGCAAGTAATTTTGGCAAAATAGTATTGGGTTGCTGAACTCCTTCCCGTACGTCAAAATTGATGTCGTTATAGAATAGTGAAGGGATCGCAGTGGTAGCGATGCCGATCATCACAAGCGCAGTTTTGGTTCGACCTTTCCCAAGGATCACCAACCATCTCCATCACTCTGGGATGGGGAAATTTGTGGCAGACTTATTTGGGAAAAGTTTGCTCTCTGCAATCCAAGTGGGAACGTTCTATCACGGGTATCTCAGAACTTCAGGGCGATTGAACTTGACTGGCATTCAACAAAATTCATTATTAAAGGTAAGTTTTCAAGCGGCAGCAGAACCCACACGCAAATTTTGGAAAATTTCTATAGGTGGTTAATGCATGGAAACGAATCGGTTTAAACGTGCTGGAATTCAAACAGTAGATATGGAAAACGGGTCGTACAGAATAAAAAAAATAAAATATTGATATACAACCACAACGTTGCTGAGATATTTGCAAAACTCTGGACCGCAGGTGTCTATGGTGGGGAACGAACGCGCTATTGTCCTTTCCGGGGAGTAACGCGTTCACCACCACACCATGCGGGTCCTTCGTTTCGCTTGTCTCTCAGCTATTTCTATCGATCTTTTGCCGCAGCAATCACCCGTCAGCGGGATTGATTGATCTGGGGCGCCCAAATCGCTCTCTGCAATACTGATATTCTGATTTTGAAAAGCTTTTTGATTTCGGTTTCTAATGTAGTGGATTCTACTAGTAGGAAATCCAAGTGAGAGAATCGCTGCCGAAAAGATACTTCCCTTAGATCCAAATCTTGGAGAAAACCTGAGAAAGCCCTTGTAAGGTCATGTCAGGACTCCAGGGAAGATCAAATTGCACAAGCAGCAATAGGCCATCCTCAGTACCCCGCATAGTGGATGCTTCCGTTTATAACACCAGGCCATGAGACAACCGTTGATAGGCCACAAAATCTCGGGTTACGCGAAACGTCACTAGAACCGGATCTGGCCGACGCACCGTAAGCCATGGAGATTGTTCTCGTATAGCCATTTTCCGTCTTCGCCCAATGCATCATAAGAAGATCATTACCATCAATTGCTACTCACCGACCGATGCGGCCGGCTGAGTGCAAATTTGATGTGTTCTTCTATCAAAGATACCCGCAATAATTAAAATGGAGAAAGTTACCCGCAATGACTAATCGTATTGCAAATTTGTTGTCGGTGCTTCGATCCAGAAAAGGAAAGGCTAACAAGATCGAATACAAAATAGGAAAATTTAGATTGGGAGAAAGAAATGAGAATAGAAACAGTCCTACAGAGCTCTTGTCTGCAGCAGATTTTTTTCGTGGAAAGGTCGATTTTCCTGAATAGAGAAGCCACCACTGGACATGATAGCCTCCTAACGGCACGACTGATACGGAGATCGACCATATTTTGGCAAGCAGAAGATGGCACTTACTTGAAACATCGATAGTTCCATCATCCTGTACTGGGTTCGATCACCGCCTTCTTCGCGCGAAGATTCGATTCAGCCCTAAGATTGGAAAGATTTCATGTCACCAGCTGCGGAGAAAAGGTCTAGTTGTATGTGACGAGAATGTTCTTAGCAATATCCTTTGCGTTGGTGGTAGACTAAAGAAGAGCCGATCGAAGACTACAAGCTGCCTGTGGAGGGACTTAGAAGTTGGGCCGAAGTTCCTCAAACAGTCCGTTCGGTCTGCTTCTCCATTACGACTAAGGAGTTGCTCGAGGAAAGAAGAAAAGAGAAGCTTGATCCTGTTGCAATACGACTAACATGAATAGTGATGAACACCAGTTACCCAAAAGCTGTGCAGGAAGGTCTACATCGGTGCTGGTTAAAGAAACTGTTAGAGGCATCACAAAAAAGAACCAGTCTCAGAAATGCCGTTGGGTCTTGTGCGAGTACAATGTTTCATTGTCAGCCCTGATGAACGAAGAAGGGGTCGTTAAAATTTCCTGCCAAGATATGGATTGATAATGGTAAAGTTCTACACACCTTTCAACGGTTTAGCGCCTCGTCGTGGCTGGGAGGTGTTCCTGGGTGTTAGGCTGCGATGTACAGCGGTGGACTCATCACCCAGTAGGGTCTCCCAAACTGAGGAGTCCGCCGTTTCCACCAGGAAGCCTAACTAAGAATAAACCAATACCAGGGTCCAGTGGCCTAGTGCAGACTTTGGTCAGGCTGTCCTCAGGACTCCAGGGAAACATCATGCCTAAGCCAACAAAACTTCGAGAAATGAAGATTATGCTGTGGCCTGTACAACCAGTGAAGATGGGGCGTCCAAGTAATCGAGTGTCCATTGTTCTACACCAACCTTTTCCGTTCTACAATCCCCGTTTCGGACTCTAAAATCTCCGCTGGAGGAAAACCACCTCGAATTCGTCCCTAGGTTAGAGTTGCTATAGCAAACATAGAAACGCACAGATTCAGGATCGTATAATATCACGCCAACTTCTTTAGAAATGGAAGCCACAGTTTTTATTCACTTCTCAGAACCCATACGACATCCTACTCTTGGAGGAGGTCGTGCACGGTCATTCTACCTATGAAGGCTAGCTGAAGAAATCCTCGTAACTGCCGACGGATATGCTTGTTGAATGTACCTATCAAGCTCTCCACGTAGATTATCCTGTCGCGCATATCAAGGATATTGGTTGAGGTGCAACCAGTTTAGCAAGTAGGATTTCGACTAGGATTTTGCTGCTTGAACAACATTCAAACCGTGTCCAGAGTGATTGGATTTTGTCGGGAATACCAACTGCCTCTAGTCTTGGCTTTTGCCGACTAGGAAAAAGTGTTTGACAGTATCGAAACGAATGCAATCTTATTGGCGCTTTTGACCATGGAATGGTCCTGTCCTACATAAGAGCTCTATCTGATTGTTATCGGAAGTGCACTTTGAAAATACAGCTCTTTTATTGATCTCTTAGCATACTTATAGAAAAAGGGGTTCGAAAATGTGATATCGTATCACCAAAGCTGTTTAATGCCGCATTTCAGTGAATAGTGAACTCACTGAATTGGGATGAGAAAGATATGTGTATTGATAGGATGGAAAATTCCTATCAAATCTGACATAAAATTTGCCGTTGGCTTATCAAATCTTCGTTTTGCCGTTGACATGGTTATCTTCTCAACAAGTACCGAAGAAGCAGAAGCGATGAGCAGTGAGCTCAATGAAGCGCGATAGAAGGTAGTACTAGAAATAAATCGGAAGAGTACCCAGTTCATGAAACATCCATGGTGCGAAGGCGATTAGGTCAAACTAGATGGTTCTATAATTGTAGAGACTAGCTCATACATATACGTTGAGCTTTCATTGAATATGAGAAACAACATGAAGGAGAAATTATACAGAAGAAGGTGAGCAAGATGGGAAACATTCAGGCCACTCAGAGAAGTTACACACCAATTAAAAAACTCGAAAATCTGCGCTCACCTTTTCGATTCTACAGTTTCCCAGCGCTTTGTTATGCAGTGGAGATTTGGGCCCAATATTCTCACCACATCAAGTGTACTGCGCACTACTTGCAAAGCGCTTGAATGATGTCTTTTGAATTATAATCGACACACACAATATTTAGCCGGAATGCGAAGATCTAATCTCCAAAATCTTATTTTCGAGGCCGAGGAGAGTATACATTAGTAGCGAAACATAAATGATCCAGTTCCCAGGATCGACTTTCTATTAACCTCGGCATTGGAATATGAATGTGTCGTTTTCTTGTTTAGCAGTCGCGAGATTTTTAAACAGCATACATTTACTTCCATAAAGAAAACACAATACAATACAACGCTAGCTGACGTTTCGGCAGTATCGCCTTCTTCAGAGCCGCTTTTT